TAACTGAAACCAATTAGTAGGAACCTTTAAATTTGAAAGAAACAAGGAGTTGAGTACAGCTAATGATGGTGGTGGCAAGTATAATTCTTTAAAGACCATTCAACCGTGTACATATAAAAGAAATTCACGTGTTACCAAATTAATTTTGGTACACATAATAGATGATTATAAAAAAAAAATACTACCTGCTCTAAACTTTAAAGAATTAAGCTTTCGTACTGATAACGTGTTATAAAAAGAGAGAAAAAGAGAGTAGAAAAAGAGAAGTCAATAGACTTGTGTGTATTATAATGAGATCCAAAGCCCTATATTTATAGGGAAGGAATAGGGATACATATGGTAATAATATTTAGGGATGCAAGGGTACAAGTATCATTCACACTAAACCCTAATTTACTTTCCTTTTACAATAGATATGATAAATATATAAAAATGTTGTGGATGTGTGTACATATATAAATGGTATGAATAGATATATATAAATGGTATGAATGTTTATAAGGATAATATTGGAATATGATGTAGATAAAAATAGTATTTTTTGAATAATTTTTTTAACTTTTAAATTAACGTTCGCTTGGATACAAATTTATAAATCTTTTAATTAAGTCAATCAAATATTAATTTCAACCATATATTCATAACTCTTCACTATTTTTCACATATTTTACTGGAATCAATACTATTCATCTTTATGAATCATTTATCAATCTGCCAAGTGAAAGTTTAGTAAATATGCTAAGAAATTTTTATATGCCCAAATACCGTTATTACTACCCCAATTTATTAAATTTCAAATCCAAATCATTCTCTTTCTCTACTCTCTATCCTCTCACTATCCCTTCTCTCCATCGGAGGCAGCCATCCACTACGGCAGCTGCTCCGACGACAGTTCCGGTGATCTCTCCGGCGGCCGCTCCAACGACAGTTCCGACGACTATTCACGATCCCTCTTACAAACTGCTCAAATGACCACTCCAACACATGCTTTGATCAATCTACCCACCCCATCCACCCATTCCCAACTTCCAAATTTTTTTCAGAATTTCAAGTCACAATCGATCATAATTGGTCACAAACGGTCACAATTAACTAGTCACAAACGATCGTTGGATGCTGTTTCCAGGAAGTGGATGAACTTGTTTAAACAAACAAAACATGGGCAAAAAAAAAACCAATATGCACATCGAATTGGATCAAAAACCACATCAAATTGGATCAAAAAATCACCAACAAACTCCAGCAATTCAAAAGTCAAATTTACTGGGCAAAAAATGGCTATCAAAAATAAAGTTTACTTTTCAAAAACCACGACCACCACTACGCACCACCACATCTACAGACAACACCACCGCACAAACAGATGAGAGAGAGATAAAACCCCAGCAATCACAAACACTCGTCCCACACTCCACCGACATCGATACTAACCCACATCGCCATCACAACCACACACAAATCAC